GGTACTCGCGTGTCTGCTACCCCAGGTGCTGGTGAGGCAGCTGCTCTAGGTGCTTGTGCGTCTGCCCCCCCTGGTACTAAGTCGACGGCAGCACTGCACACCTTCACACAGGACTCAGGTGCTTCTCGCTGCTTCTTTCGTGACCGCACTGCCCTTGAGCCGCTTGCTCGGCCAGTTGCTGTCTCCCTCGCTGACCCCTCTGGGGGTCCGGTCATTGCGACCTCCTCCACTGTCCTTCCCTGTCCTGCGGTCCCGTCGGGCACACTGTCAGGTCTCCACCTCCCCTCGTTTTCTACGAACTTGGTGGCAGGTAGTGCACTCCAGGACGGGGGTGTTCACCAGTTCACCCCTCCCTACGAGCGCGTGACACACTGCACGTGTGCTCGTACGGGCCGCCACTTGGCTACCTTCACTCGGCAGCCGGGGTCGGACCTGTACACACTGACCACTGAGTCCCCTGAGGTCGCTGCGTCTGCGTCTGGGTCCACGTCAGGTCAGCTGTCCGCCCCCTGCTCGTGTCGCTCTCTGGCGCACGAGACTGTCCTCTGGCACCACCGACTTGGCCACCCGTCTGTGCAGCGCCTTCGTGCCATGCACTCCCGGTACCTTGTCTCCGGTCTTCCCAGAGTCCTCCCTCCCCTCCCACCCTCGCCTGCTCCTCCCTGTCTTCCCTGCGTCGAAGGGCGGCACCGCGCCGCTCCTCACTCCTCCTCGTTTCCCCCGACGAGTGCTCCCTTGCAGACGCTCCACATGGACGTGTGGGGCCCAGCCCGCGTCCGTGGTCAGGGTCAGGAGAGGTACTTCCTGATAGTTGTTGACGACTACTCGCGCTACACCACGGTCTTCCCCTTGCGCACCAAGGGTGAGGTCCCTGATGTCTTGATCCCTTGGATCCGCAGAGCCCGTCTCCAGCTCAGCGAGCGTTTCCACTCGGACTTTCCTGTCCTGCGCTTGCACTCTAACAGAGGTGGTGACTTCTCCTCCGACCTCTTGGCAGCCTACTGTGCTGAGCACGGCAATGAGCACTCGTTCATGCTTCCGGCCTCTCCACAGCAGAATGGGATTGCAGAGCGCCGCATTGGCCTGGTCATGGAGGTCGCCCGTACCTCCTTGATCCATGCGGCTGCCCCCCACTTTCTGTGGCCGTTTGCGGTCCGGTACGCTGCGCATCAGCTCAACCTCTGGCCCCGTGTCTCCTTGCCGGAGACCTCGCCCACACCGCTGTGGACGGGGGAGGTTGGCGATGCGTCGCGTTTCCGGGTCTGGGGATCTCGAGCTTTTGTCCGCGATACGTCTGCGGACAAGCTCTCCTCCCGTGCTGTTCCCTGCGTCTTCCTCGGCTTTGTCCCGGACGCGCCTGGTTGGCAGTTTTACCACGCCACCTCGCGCCGAGTCTTGCCCTCTCAGGACGTCACTTTTGACGAGTCTGTCCCCTACTACCGCCTCTTCCCCTACCGCACTGCCCGCTCCCCCCCTCGCCTCTCTTCCTCGCGCCAGGTGCTGCTGTGGTAGACCCCCTCCCCCCTCAGGGTGCCGCTCCCTCAGGTGTGTCTCAGGTAGACCCGGTTGAGCCTGTTGAGGTAGCTGTCGACTCTCGTCCTGCTGTGGGTGCGGAGCCTGGGGGTGATGAGCCTGGGGGTGCGGAGCTTGGGGGTGCTGAGCCTTGGGGTGCGGAGCCTGGGGGTGCGGAGTGTGGGGGTGCGGAGCCTGGGGGTGCGGAGCCTGGGGGTGCTGAGCCTTGGGGTGCGGAGCCTAGGGGTGCTGAGCCAAGGAGTACTGAGCCTGGGGGTGCTGAGCCGAAGAGTCCGGAGTCTGGGGGTTCTGAGTCTGGAGGTCCTGAGCCTGAGGGTCCTACACTTGGCGGAGCCCTCTCCTCGGAGCAGCTGCGTGAGTGGTACTTCCAGTACTGCAGCCTCAGGAGAGGTACCTCTGGAGCCAGGCGTACTACTGGGACTGGTGCTAGTGCTTCTCCTCCTAGCTGGGAGCTCCCCTCCCGTGAGCGGATCCGTGAGTGGTACAAGCGGCGCTGCACTCTTCGGAGTGGCGCGCCTGGTGTCGCGGACCCCGCTGCTGCTGGTGGTGCTACTGGTGCTACAGACTCTACTGGTTCTGCTGGTGCTGCGGCCCCAGAGGTTGGAGCTGTTTCTGGTGCTGCAGACCCGGGCGTTGGAGCTACGGCTGGTGCTGCGGATCCGGGCGCTGGTGCTGCTGGTGGTGCTGAGGACCCGGGCGTTGGAGCTGCTGCTGGTATTGAGGACCCGGGCGTTGGAGCTGCTGCTGGTGCTGAGGACCCTGGAGTTGGTGCTGCTGCTCGTGCTGTGGAGTCGGGCGTTGGAGCTGCTGCTGGTGCGGAGGACCCTGGCGCTGGTGTCTCTGCTGGTTCTGGAGTCGCTGCACGGCAGCGGCCGTACTTCGTTCCGCTCCTTCAGCAGGTTCTTGGTCTCCCGCCTTCTCTCGGTCCTCCTCCTCCCTTAGAGTGTCCACAGCCTGTCCAGTCACGGTTACAGTTACAACCCGCCTCCCCACTGCCCGCTCCTTCTCCCTACACTGGTCCTACTGGAGGTCTTGCTGAGCGTCGTGAGCCTGCGTCTCGCCCTGCGTCGCCTGTCCGTACTGCTCGCACTAGTGGTTGCGGTTCGCGTCAGCATCCTCCTCCTGTCCCTGGCACGCACCGGATGTCTCTGCGTCCGTCCACTGCTCCTCTGCGTGCCCCTTTGCCTTCTCCTCCTGAGTCCTCTCTTCCTGCTCTTCCCGACCCGGAGTCGGACTCTCTTCGTGCTGCCAGTCCTACTGTCACGTGTCTCCTTGCTACTGTCGTCACTGACCCTTCTTTTGAGTCCACTGCTGCGTCTGCCCTAGTTGCTGAGCTCGTCGACTTTGCTGCTCGCTGTCGTCTAGACTACGCTGCTAGTCTTGTCGCTGAGTCTGAGTCTGTCTGTCCTCCGTCCGTCGGGGGTGAGTGTGCCCTTGGCACGGACGTCCTTGAGGACAGGCATGAGGAGTTCCAGTGCTTGGCCGCTGCTTCACCTCATCTCGTGTCCGTACTGCTTACCCCTGAGGGAGACCCGGATGCACTTGACATCCCGACTCCGCGCTCTTACGCAGAGGCGATAGAGGGTCCCTACTCTTCTCAGTGGCAGGCAGCTATGGATGCAGAGATGGCTTCCTGGAAGTCCACAGGCACCTACGTTGACACTGTCCCCCCTCCTGGGGCGAACATCGTCAGTGGCATGTGGATTTTCAGGGTGAAGCGGCCGCCGCGTTCTCCGCCTCTCTTCAAGGCGCGTTACGTGGCTCGAGGCTTCAGTCAGCGGCAGGGAGTTGACTACTTTCAGACCTTCTCTCTGACCCCGAAGATGACCACTCTTCGGGTACTACTGCACGTAGCTGCTCACCGTGACTACGAGCTACACTCTCTTGACTTCAGCACTGCCTTCCTGCAGGGCGGCCTGCACGAGGAGATCTGGCTGCGCCGCCCACTTGGCTTCACTGGGACTTTTCCTCCCGGCACTCAGTGGAGCCTCCGGCGCCCAGTCTACCGTCTCCGCCAGGCACCGCGTGAGTGGCACGACACACTGAGGACTACGCTTGCGGCTCTTGGGTTTGCTCCCTCTACTGCCGACCCGTCGCTGTTTCTACGCACTGACACTTCTCTGCCGCCGTTCTACATCCTCGTGTACGTCGACGACTTGGTCTTTGCCACAGCCAACACTGCTGGACTCGCCTACGTGAAGTCAGAGCTGCAGAAGAGACACACGTGCACAGACCTGGGTGAACTGCGCAGCTACCTTGGCTTGCAGATCACCTGGGACAGAGCACGCCGCACCATCACCCTGACTTAGTCACACATGGTGCAACAGGTCCTTCAGCGCTTCGGCTTCACATACTCCTCGCCTCAGGCCACTCCTCTGCCTACTCGCCACTCGCTCTCAGCTCTGCCTTCGGATGAGTCCGTAGAGTCGAGTGGCCCGTACGCAGAGCTTGTTGGTTGCCTCATGTACCTGATGACCTGCACACGACCTGACCTTGCATGCCCTCTTAGCATTCTCGCACGCTATGTTGCTCCTGGGAGACACCGACCAGAGCACATTGCTGCAGCGAAGAGGGTGTTGCGCTACTTGTGCAGTACGTCGGGCATGGGGCTAGTGCTTGGAGGGCGGAGTCCAGTGGTCCTCACTGGTCACGCAGACGCTTCTTGGGCTGACGACCAGGCTACGCAGCGGTCGTCACAGGGTTACACCTTCTGTGAAAATAGTAGGTGTGGGGCCTAGGCTTAGTAGCCTAGGCCCACACTAGGAGGTAGGTGGGCTTGCTCTAGAACTAGGAGTTAGTGTTTACGAAGGAGAATTGGAAGGAAGGATGACTGGACTAGCAAGCAGCAGGGCACACAAATAGAAAACCCTAAGGGGTTGTACTCAGTATTGAGCACCCCACTGCAGGCTAGACAAATAACATTCTGACACACCCCCATAGCCAAAGTGGGGTGTAATCAGCAGAGCAGGCAAAGCAGTACAAGCTCAGGGTGGATCACAATGTCACCACACATTCTGAGCACAAGTTAAAGAAACAATAGTTTAAAGTTAAGAATTATGAGCAAAGCTAGTGGTAGTCACAACGGGCAAGTAAGGAGGAGGAGAGAGAGTGAGGGGAGAGGAGATAGGAGGAGACGGCTGAAGCTGCAGACACACGGGCAACAGGAGGCAGACTGGCACAGCGGCTACCGGACTAAGCGCCCGGACTACAGGAGTAACAGGCCCCGCGGCTAAAGTAGCGGCAGACGAGCAACGGACCCACGGGCGGCTGGCGTAGAAGTCTAGCTCACTGGGCTACCGGGACAGCGCCCCGGACTACAGATGCTGCGGACTACAGTACGGCAACTTCCATGGAGCTTCCCCAAACAGTCCCACCCCCCTGACACACACTCGCTGCTACACCGCTAGCTCCACTCCCACGCACCCCCCTTAAACCCTAAACCCCAGTCTCCCACACAACCACCCCCCTCAGCGACAGCTGCAGCAGTGGGAGACGAAGGAGGAGGAGGAGCAAAGGGAGGAATGCACACCAGCCACCCCCATACCCGCAAACGGGGGGGGGGGGGGGGAAGAGCAGAAACAGTGCGCACGAGGGCGCAGACAGTAGCAGAGCGCACGAGGGCGCGAGCACGAGGCACGAGCAGCACCAGGCACATGCAGCACAGGGCAGCACAGGCACGGGCAGCACAGGGCAGCACAGGCACGGGCAGCACAGGGCAGCACAGGCACGGGCAGCAACAGGCACAGGCAGCACAGGCACGGGCAGCACAGGCACTGGCAGCACAGGCACGGGGAGCACAGGCACAGGCAGCAACAGGCACAGGCAGCACAGGGCAGCACAGGCACGGGCAGCAACAGGCACAGGCAGCACAGGCACGGGCAGCACAGGCACGGGCAGCACAGGCACGGGCAGCACAGGCACAGGCAGCAACAGGCACAGGCAGCACAGGGCAGCACAGGCACGGGCAGCAACAAGCACAGGCAGCACAGGCACGGGCAGCACAGGCACGGGCAGCACAGGCACGGGCAGCACAGGCACAGGCAGCACAGGGCAGCACAGGCACGGGCAGCAACAGGCACAGGCAGCACAGGCACGGGCAGCACAGGCACGGGCAGCACAGGCACGGGCAGCAAAGGCACAGGCAGCAACAGGCACAGGCAGCACAGGGCAGCACAGACACGGGCAGCAACAGGCACAGGCAGCACAAGCACGGGCAGCACTGGCACGGGCAGCACAGGCACGGGCAGCACAGGCACAGGCAGCAACAGGCACAGGCAGCACAGGGCAGCACAGGCACGGGCAGCAACAGGCACAGGCAGCACAAGCACGGGCAGCACTGGCACGGGCAGCACAGGCACGGGCAGCACAGGGCAGCACAGGCACGGGCAGCACAGGCAGGGCAGCACAGAGCGTACCGGGTCCAGGGGCGGCAGCTGCTGCAGGCGCTGGCGGCGGCTGCTGCTGCAGGCTCTGGCGGCGGCTGCTGCTGCTGGGCGGAGGTGGCTGCTGCGGCAGAGCGGCGGCGGCTGCTGCTGCTGGTAGAGCGGTGGCTGCTGCTGCTGGGTCGGTGGCGGCAGCTGCTGCAGGCCTGGCGGCGGCTACTGCTGCAGGCTCGGCGGCGGCTGCTGCTGCAGGCTCTGGCGGCGGCTGCTGCTGCAGACTCTGGCGGCGGCTGCTGCTGCTGGGCAAAGGTGGCTGCTGCGGCAGAGCGGCGGCGGCTGCTGCTGCTGGTAGAGCGGCGGCTGCTGCTGCTGGGTCGGTGGCGGCAGCTGCTGCAGGCCTGGCGGCGGCTGCTGCTGCAGGCTCGGCGGCGGCTGCTGCTGCAGGCTCTGGCGGCGGCTGCTGCTGCAGACTCTGGCGACGGCTGCTGCTGCAGGCTCTGGCGGCGGCTGCTGCTTCAGGATCTGACGGCGCCCCGCGGGTCCCGCAGGGGGCGTCGCGACGAGCAGGGGCGACGCCCCGCGGGTCCCACAGGGGGCGTCGCGACGAGCAGGGGCGACGCCCCGCGGGTCCCGCACGGACGTCGCGACGAGCAGGGCGACGCCGCGCGGGTCCCGCAGGGGGTGTCGCGACGAGCAGGGGCGACGCCCCGCGGGTCCCGCAGGGGGCGTCGCGACGAGCAGGGGCGACGCCCCGCGGGTCCCGCACGGACGTCGCGACGAGCAGGGCGACGCCGCGCTGGTCCCGCAGGGGGCGCCGTGACGAGCAGCGGGGAGGGCAGCGCGCAGGCCCCCCCGAGGGTGCTCCGACGGACGGGAAGCGCGCGGCGGGCAGAAAAAGCTGCCACGCGTTCGAAGCGCGTGGCGGGATAAAAATGCACCACGGGGCGCGCGGCGGATAATACGGCAGCGGAAGTAGGTGGTGGGCCCGATGAACTAGGCGGCAGGATCTTGCCGGCTCTAGATACCATGTGAAAATAGTAGGTGTGAGGCCTAGGCTTAGTAGCCTAGGCCCACACTAGGAGGTAGGTGGGCTTGCTCTAGAACTAGGAGTTAGGGTTTACGAAGGAGAATTGGAAGGAAGGATGACTGGACTAGCAAGCAGCAGGGCACACAAATAGAAAACCCTAAGGGGTTGTACTCAGTATTGAGCACCCCACTGCAGGCTAGACAAATAACATTCTGACACCTTCAGTGTGAGAGGACGTCCCCGTTATAATATTTTCTCACTATTATATTTTTCCGTTATCCCATTCTCCCTTTTCTCCTCTTTATTTTGGTCTTTATCTCATCTCAATCGGCCTACTATTCTATTCTCTAGAGCCTTCTATTTATTTCTCTTATTTCCTACTTTTCCCACCGACATACCTATTATACGGCACCGACAGCGCCGACAGTGGTGTATACGGTGTAATCTGGGCGTAATCCCAAGTGCCAATAGACTTGCGTGCTTATGCGCACTTGTGATTGTAGTATCGGGAAGGGTGTGTTCCCGAAGGTTCGTTTTATCTCGTTTATCCTTGTACTTTCCGAGAATAAATAGGCCTTGTATTCAGTTTTAGTGACAAGTTTCGATTGAGAATTCGATCCTGTGACACTTGGTAATCAGAGCCGTTCTCAATCGACAACTCTCGGCTAAGCAGCGGTCGCGGAAACAATCGCCTCGAAAAACCGCCGGGGGCGACCAATTCGACGCCGATTTCTGGTAAGTACCAGTTCCGCGCTTTTCGAATTAACCCCCTCGCGTGGTTTTTGAACAGGATGGGTTCGCCGGCGACCAACGACGTTACGCAGCAGCTCTTCGCGCAAATCGCCAAGATGGAAGCGGAGATGCGAGCGACGACTGAACGGTCGCGATTGGAGAACGAGCAGATGCGAAACGAACTGCAGCGCGTTACGCGGCTCCTCTCGACCATGAACATTCCTGCTTCGACGACTTCGCAGCAGTCGCAGCGTCAGTTCGAGGTTCCGAAACTTCGCTCGCCGGAATCGTTCGACCCTAGCGATCGAAAATCCGACGTCAGGCGGTGGCTCGCGACGATGGAAATTTATTTCGCGGCGATCGGATGGACGACAACGGAGTACGACGGCGAGAAAATTCGTCTCGCGACAACGTTGATGCGCGGTCCAGCTCTCGAGTGGCTCGGAAGCAACAGTAGCATTTTCCAGGGCGAAGCCACGTGGGAGCAGTTCCGGGCAGACCTTCTCAAACGTTTTGAGCCGATTAATTCCACTTATATTGCGCGCGAAAAATTACATCACCATAGGCAATACGGGAGTGTCGCGCAATACACGCAGCAGATGGAGGAATTTTATAATCGCATTCCCGACATTACCGAGGGCGAAAAAATTCAGTCCTACATCGCGGGGCTGAAAACCGACATTCGGCGCCAGGTTGCAGCAGCGAATTGCAGCAGCTACAGCGAAATCGTATCGGCCGCGGAGCGTTTTGACTTGGTCAACTCCGGGACACGACGACCCCACGTCGTCGGATCACGACAAGGGGATCGCTCGGCTTCAACCACGTTCGCCGACCCCATGGAAGTCGACAAATTCGACGCGAGTTCACGTCCTGCAAAAAACAAAACACTTTGCGAATTTTGCGGCGGAAACGGACATCGGATTGTCGACTGTTTTCACATGAAATCTGCATGTGCGGCATTCCGAGTTCGTGGGAGTGGCGAAACTAAAAACAAAAAGTCAAAAAACGGATCTCGCCAGTGATTGCGGATCGTGCTGGCGAGGAAAAACAGATCCGAAAGCGTCAGCGCAATCTGGACCGAATCGAAATTGAAGGACAGCATTGGGCGCGAGATTTGGAGAATCAAGGGCGAAATCCCAAGCCCCTTGACCGAAATTTGTCAGAGGAATTCGCCGAGGAAAAGAAAACCTCCGCGAAAACAGACTCGACCAAGACGGGAACTCTCCAATTCGACCCCGGGAAAAAACAGAATTCGTTAAAGTTATCTTTCAAAGATGCTTTAATGAAGACTGGCGTTTTTCGCGGGTGCGGAGCCATAAACAAATTCTGGGAAGAACTCCAGAGGAAGCAGACAATTAAAGAAGTGGTACCGGTGCCTACGGAGCTGGGGAAAAAATTAAGGAGTGTGGAAAGGAGTAGACCTTTTCACGGCGTCAACGTCCTCTCCCGGAACCAGCCCAAGACGACTCTCCACTCCCCAGGGAAGAAGTCTATGGAGCTGAAGCAGCTGAAGAGGCAGCTGGGAGTTCAAAAGAAGCTGCAGAAACTCCGAAAACCCCTCAAGGATGCATCCAGTGGATCGCAGGCGTCGACCGGATCCACCCCCTCAGGGTCAACTTGTACAGTTACTACCTCTACTCCTGGCATTGGAGAAGAGCCTTTCTCCACGCAGCCCAGGCCAGCTAGTTGTCCAGAAGAAAGCAGTGGAACCACGGTGCGTACTGAATATTGGGATGTACCCTATGATCCTATTAATGAGACTATTTTTGGGTACTTCGAGCAACGCTCACCACTCCTGCTCGAGGTGATCTGCAACGGACAGCGCCTCCAAGCACTCGTGGACAGTGGGGCGTCGCACAGCGTCTATGACAAAAAGGCAATCGATCGACTCGGAAGTGACATCAAGTCCTCAAGCTTCTCTGCAACGATGGTGGATGGCAGTAAGCTACCTATCTACGGGGAAACACGGTTGCTACTCCAGATTGGACCCCTTCGATGGAAGCCTGCTCTCCCCGTCACAAATATCAAAGGACTCGACGTAATCTTCGGGAGAGACTTTCTTAAAAAGTTCAACCCCGAGATCAACTGGGTTAACCAGACGGCCAACATCAACAACAACGGGAGGAAAATCAGCCTTCCCAAATGGGACGACACGGGAAATATTCCAGTCGAGACACTCGCACGCTTTGAAAAGGACGTCAAACGGACCACGGCGGGATTCATGGCGATAGTCAACGAGGCAGACAACGGAGAGAAGCAGACCCAGGAACTTCCTCCAGCAGTCAAGAAAATTCTTGAAGAGTTCCAGGACGTTCTCCCCGACGATTTACCTGATCAACTACCGCCATACCGGACACATCAACACGAGATCGTAGAAGAGCCGGGGTCCAAGCCAACATTTTGAGCACCGTACCGGCTAAGCCCGACAGAGCTTGCCGATATGAAAAAACAAATAGAGTGTCTCCTAGAGAAAGGGCTGATTCGACCTTCGACTTCGCCGTACGGAGCTTCAGTTCTCTTCACTCCGAAGTCAGACGGAAGTCTGCGAATGTGCATCGACTACCGAGCCTTGAACAAGGAGACTGTAAAAAATAAATACCCGATACCACGAATCGACGACTTACTCGATCAACTTCGCGGTGCTACGGTATTCTCCAAGCTCGACCTCAGATCGGGATACTGGCAAATTCGTATGGCGGACAACTCTATCCACAAAACCGCTTTTCGAACTCGGTACGGGTCATACGAGTATCTCGTGATGCCATTCGGACTCACTAACGCACCAGCCACATTTCAGGCGGAAATGAACCACATCCTTCGGCCCCTTCTGGACGAGTGCGTGGTGGTATATTTGGACGATATCCTGATCTACTCGAAAGATATGAAGCAGCACGTTGAGCATCTACGACGGGTGTTTGAAATTCTTCGACGAGAACGCTTCTACGTGAAACTATCCAAGAGCGAGTTTGCGTTGAAAAAAGTCCAGTTCCTTGGACATATGGTGAGCGCTCAAGGAGTTCACGTGGATCCTAAGAAGATCGAAGCAGTGCGAACGTGGAAGACCCCTGAGAACGTGAAGGAGTTACAACAGTTCCTTGGATTCGCCAACTACTACAACCGGTTCGTACCGAACTACGCCAAGATTGCCGCACCATTAACAAACCTGTTGAAGAAGAATACACCATATCAATGGGAGGCGAAGCACCAGGAAGCCGTGGAACAACTTAAAACCGCACTCACGTCCGCACCTGTTCTTATCCTGCCAGACACTGAACTTGACTATGTCATCGAGGCCGATGCTAGCGATCAAGCAGTGCGCGCAGTACTCATGCAGGATCAAGGGAAGGGACTGCAACCCATTGCATACCTCAGCAAAAAACTTCACGGGGCAGAACTCAATTACCCCATCCATGACAAAGAGGCCCTCACCATCGTCAACGCATTTAAGGCATGGAGGTGTTATCTTGAAGGAAGAAAAACGACTGTCTACACCGACCACTGCAGCCTCAAGTACCTGAAGACCCAACCAACACTCTCCAGGCGGCAGGTCCGGTGGATTGACTTTCTCGAAACCCACTTCCATTACGACATCGTGTATAAGCCGGGGCACAAGAACAAGGCAGACGCACTGAGTCGCCCTGCACACGTTGACGCCTTACAAATCGATGGCATGAACCCACTTCTGAAGGGACTCTTCACGCATGGATACACCATCGACCCCGAAGTCTCTGTAGCAGAAAAGCGCCATCTTCTACATTGGGATCAAGACATCGCATACCGCAAGGGCTCCACAAAAATATGGGTACCTAATTACCCTCCCTTACGCCAGTTACTGCTCGAAGAATATCATGATGTTCTCTACGCGGGCCACTTCGGTAGTAACAAGACGCTTGCCGGTATTGCGAAGCATTATTATTGGCCCCACATGGCAGATGACGTACAAAAATTCGTCACCTCGTGCGACACATGCCAACGGATGAAGAGCAGCAAACAGAAGAAAGCAGGATTACTACAGCCTCTTCCAGTCCCTGAACAGCCTTGGCAAGTGGTTAGCCTCGACTTCATCACCAGGTTACCACCTACCAAAGCTGGTTACGACGCCATTCTAGTCGTCATCGACAAATTCTCCAAAATGGGACACTTCATTCCGACACACACAACGGCTCGCATCGAGGAGACAGCGCAAATATTCTTCCGCTACGTCATCTCGCAACATGGCATTCCAACCACGCTGATCTCCGACAGAGACCCGAAATTCACGAGTAAATTCTGGAAGGAGCTCATGTCGCTCATGGGGACCAAACTTGCCATGTCATCAGCCTATCATCCCCAAACGGATGGTCAGACAGAGCGCCTCAACCAGATTGTCGAACAGCTTCTGCGAGCAGCGTGTAAGGACGATATCTCTACATGGGATGCACATCTGCTGGTTCTCGAGTTTGCGTATAACAACGCCACGCACGCCGCAACAGGGCAAACTCCTTTCTTCCTCTGTTACGGTCGCAACCCACTCACGCCTCAGAAACCAACAGTACCCGCCACGGTGCAACCCGCACATGACTTCATTTCCACTATGCACCAATTGTGGGAGCGCACGCATAAACGTCTTCTGACTATCCAGCAGCAACAAAAGAAGCTCGCTGATCGGAGTCGCAACGATCATTCCATCCAGATTGGCGATCAAGTGCTTCTGGATACACGCAATCTCGACATTAGCCATCTTCCGTCTAAGCTCCGACCTCGCTTCTGCGGACCTTTTCTCGTCGAGGCGCAGGTCACTCCACTAACCTTCCGCTTGCGTTTACCAGCTACCTGGAGAATTCACAATGCCTTCCATGTTCAACTTCTCAAGCCCTATCGGGACCCAAACACGGTCTTCAAAGGTCGCCAGCCGCCGCCCCCACTGCCAGTGATCGTTAATGGAGAACCCGAGTACGAAGTCGAAGCCGTTCTGGCGCACCGACGACGACGTAGCGGCACCTTGGAGCTCTTGATTCGTTGGAAAGGCTATGATCCTTCCGAGGATACCTGGGTACCTGAACACGACATGGATAACGCCCGCCGTCCTCTACAGGACTACCTTGTCAAGCAGGGTGTTACTTCTACCACCCAGCTTTGAGGGGGGGAAGTGTGAGAGGACGTCCCCGTTATAATATTTTCTCACTATTATATTTTTCCGTTATCCCATTCTCCCTTTTCTCCTCTTTATTTTGGTCTTTATCTCATCTCAATCGGCCTACTATTCTATTCTCTAGAGCCTTCTATTTATTTCTCTTATTTCCTACTTTTCCCACCGACATACCTATTATACGGCACCGACAGCGCCGACAGTGGTGTATACGGTGTAATCTGGGCGTAATCCCAAGTGCCAATAGACTTGCGTGCTTATGCGCACTTGTGATTGTAGTATCGGGAAGGGTGTGTTCCCGAAGGTTCGTTTTATCTCGTTTATCCTTGTACTTTCCAAGTATAAATAGGCCTTGTATTCAGTTTTAGTGACAAGTTTCGATTGAGAATTCGATCCTGTGACATTCAGCCTTGGTTCCGGCTCTGTTTCGTGGCG